CTATTGCAGTGGGTCTTATGATTTTTTTCTCATAAATCACTTTTTAAGAAATAACATTTGTCCTTCTGTGGATTACTGGTTCTGAAGCCTAGGACTGACACAGATCTTTAAGCTACCAGGATTTTGTTTGTTGGGTGTTTTCTTTTGCCTTATTTAAGAGAAAAAAGGGCCCTGGCTGGTGTAGCTCAGTGTATTGAGTGCGGGCCTGTGAACCAAGAGATTGAGGTTCAATTCCCAGTCAGGGCACATGCCTGGGTTGCAGGCCGGTTCCCAGTAGGGGATGGATGAGAGGCAACCACACATTGATGTTTCTCTCTCTCTCTCTCCTTCCTTTCCCTTCTAAAGATAAATAAATAAAATGTTTTTTTAAAATAATAAATAAAAAGAGAACAAAGGAATATGTTAATTTGAGAATGCATTCTGAATTGTGCTGTTAACCTAAAATTTCATTATTATCCCACCATGCTTAAAAATGGCCAAAGTAGTTTGATAAGGGAAGGGATTTAACTTTGGTTTCTAGATGTTTAGCTTTTGTCAGTTTCTACAAATTTCCATATTAGTAGTAGTAGGAGGGTGAATATTGAATATCATTCTCTTCTTTTAAAAGATATAAATAAATACTACTTGAATTGGTTTCATATACTCAAGTATATGTAGGGGAAAATACAATCATTGGTTACAGAATAAAAGCCAGGCTTCCTTGTGTGACATCTCACGTCCTCTCCCATCAGGCCACCCGCCCCTCCAGCGCGGTCACCCGCCACTTCACAGGCACATGTAACTCGTGGCAGTGCCGAACTGCTCCTAGAGCCTCAAGCCCCCCACCGTGGATTTTGTTTTGTGTCGTTACCGTGGCATTGGTGCCCTTGACGCTGCTGGGCCCAGATACCCTCTCCTGCACTTCCGTTTGATGTGTGTTGTAATGCCATGAGGCCGGGAGCCCTTTGAGTGGAGTTTTGTAGCCACAAAAATAGTAGTGTTCATCCATTGGGGGGATGATTACCATCAGATTGGTCTAGCCTTACCTTTTTCCATTGTAGGGATGATTCATACCCTGTTTCTCATGGGTGTTTGTGAAACCTGCTGAATACTGCCGGGGGCAGGAGCGGCCTGTGCCCCAGGGACGCCCATTACAGTTTTCCCCAGGTCTTACAAAGTTCTCTGTACAAAGTTCTCTGAGAAGAACAGTTCTTGTTTCTTCTTCCCGTCACTCATACACAGGAACTAGTGTTTTAAATGTGTAATGTTCTAGAACTCGTGCTTCCACATGCAGTGAACGCCAGCATTTTCTAAATTAAATTTGTCATTGTGCTAACCCCCTCTTTACCCCAACTTTATGTGGACCTTTAGGGCACAAAGTCACGGGATAGTGTGGGCAGGAAGTTCAACACTGCCTGCTGTGCAGTTGTGCTGACTCTGTAGTTCACTGTGTCGCAGTGAGTGTGACCCACAGGGATGAGAAGGCGGGAGAACAGGGCATTCGGTGGGACGTGTAAACCACACCAGTGTGGACAGCGGCCCGGCTCGCAGCTTCCCACTCCACTTTATTTTAAATTCTCATAGGTCTTTGTTTGTGAAGTTAACTTTCTACTACATTTCCGTGAGCCATTTGTGTAATTTAAATTCAAGTACTAAATATGCTATCTTCTTTAGCCAAATAAATTTATATATGTTTGTGTAAGTGTTACAGATAAACTCTCACTTGCATAATCATTCTCACTAAACTTAATAGCTTCCCTGGGTTAAAACTCCTGTCCCGTTAATCTTGGTATTCTCTTGTCCTTGCATGGGATCTGGTAAATATGCACTCATAAATTCTTTTTTAAAAAATAATAATCAAGCAAATCTTTCCTCCTTCCTCTTCACCAGCCCCCGACCAGAAACAGAAAAATTCATATTTCTCCTTTCTCTGAATTCCACTTTTGTAGACAGCTTTCAATATCTATACTAGTGTTTTTCAAAGAATGGTCTATTAATGCGTACTTCAAAATTATTAATTACCTGCAGTATGTATTTAAAAAGCAGATTTCTAAACCCCAGACTTATTCATAAGTCAGAGTTTCGGAGGGTGAGACCCAGGAACCTTCATTGTTGTCATCATTGTTTCTTTGTGGGATACATAGTTCTTTTATTTTATTATTGAATAGCTCAGAGTGATGTGAGAGAGAAGTAGAGATCCCATCCCTGTCCCACCCAGTTTTGTAGCGAACCGGTGGCGTTTCCATTTGAGAAGGGACAGTGTTTCCAACAGCGCCCAGCTTGTTTCACGGGAGTGATGGGTGTGATCTCAGACCCGACCTGGAGCCACGTAAGACGGCTCGGCAAGGTCCCTTTGGGCGCTGGTGACTCTGGAAGAGGTTGTGAAGACCCACTCTAAAGGACACATCAGGAGTAATAGGCTGGGCTTCTTTTTGATCTCCTCGTTGGCAAAAATAAAGGCTAGAACGTCCTTCTCGTGCCTGTACTGAATCCGGGTCTTAAGCTGGAGTCAAAGATCTGTCTCTCAGGAGGCAACATGAATGGGTGTTTAATCAGCCACATTTGGCCAAATGTTTACCAATTTTTTTACAAAGGCTGTAACTCAGGAACAGCCGCCTGGGAACGGTGCACAGGGGAAAGGTATCGGTGGGGGTGGGGTGGCGGGGCTTCCCTGCCCTCTCGGGGCATCTGTCACTGAAGCGTGCACACCAGCTCAGAAGTGTCAGGACTTCCGGTTGTGAAACACTGCCCGTGGGCTGCATCTGTAGAAAGTGCTACGACGTAACCGGGCCTTTTTATGTTTGCATTTGCTTTGTAAGTCTCTGCTGAATTAAATTAAATTTTACTTAATTTTCAAAGACCCTAACTGGTCACAGAAAGAAATGAGGTCAGTTTAAATCAGGCAGTGCACTCTTTGGGGATTTATTCTGTACAACCAAAAGAAATGTTTTATGAAGTGCTGTTTCTTTGATTTTTCCTTTCTGCTTCCGACAGATTAACTTCCTTGTTTCCCTTTGTCTTTATCTTTCTTCCAAGTCTTTGGAGCCTGAAACTCATACATCATTATTGTTGAATCTCTTTTTTTTAATCTTTTAATTACTCATCAAGTAACAATAATACTTCGTTCGAAATACCTCCTGTGTTTTTCTCCTTTTTCGTTTGTTGGTGCTTTTCCTCTCGAATTCCCGTTTCCCCCTCCCTTCGTAGATTACCTCCAACACCTCTGTGTGGCCCCTCAGCCGCCTCTGTCCCCTGCTGCCAAGTGTCCAAAGTCATTACCGGAGCAGTTCCCACAGACCAGATGTCACTCACTGCCTTTAATTGACCCTAGGTCATTCAGAAAGCTCTCTTTCAAACTCAGTGTTTGCATTTAACTCCAACTTGTATATTCGGCCATCATTAAAAATTAGGGTATAATTTGATGCATATATTTCCTGAACTTGATTATTATATCTATTTTACTTTAAGTGCCTTTATGTACTTAAAAAGTGTATTTATCCTCACAACTAAATATCCTTTAAAAAGTCTAATTTAAATTATAGGGGGAGAAAACAGGAGAACTGATTCAAAGGTAGCCTAGATTTCAAATTTAAGTAGTTAATTAGAAGTCAGCCTTTAAAATAAGTATAGAGGTATACCCTAATAAGAGACGTGATTTTAAATGTCATTCTCTAATTTTTTCTCTTGCCTTACATGTTTGATCGTAGGCATTATATCTAAACTACGAGCAGTGTTCAAGATTTTAAGAATCTGAAATAATGCTATTTGTCTAACCTTATTTTTATTTTCTAACACAAAACATCTATTAAGAAAGTTTCTTCGTTATCCCATTCACTTGCCGTTCTTACCTCTGAACTTGCGTTCATGTCGTTCCCCGCACATCTGCATTGCCTGGTTTGCTCCTCCCACTGACTTAAGTTCTCTTGTCCTTTCTTTTAACCCAATCGGTACTTTTCTGTCCCTTCCTTAACCATCCCATCTCCTTCATTCCTGCCTTCTCCCAGCTGCCCTTCAGGTGTATTCTTCTCTAATCGTTTTACTTCGTTAGCGTGGTCTCAGTTGTATTCCTTGCTTCTGCCTTGACAGCAGAAAATATTAACACCGGCAGCTACTGAGTTTTCTAGGGAAGAGAGTTACGATAACATTCCAGTCTGCTTACCCCGAGAGCCCACTTAGTGGTTCCCCATTTCGTACGACCAGAAGTGTGCTAAGAGCGGTGCGGTGGTGGGAATGGTTGGGACGGCTGGCCTTTTGGTGTAAAGAACTTGGGGTGTTTTAATAAGAATGACTGCCGTGTATTTTGGGGGATGCCTATAATGTGCCTGTTTTTCTTTGGTTAGATACTTGACTGTTTTCTTTGAGTTTTTATTTAAAAATTCTGTGAAGTACCTAAGATTATCTGTTTTATTATAGAAGAAATTGAGTCTCTAAGAGGGTTAAGAAATACTATGACGGAACCAAAATGCAGGCCCAGGTCTCCCTGTCTGAAATCCATTGCTGTTTCTGCTGCGTTACTAAAATAGTACAGAACTCCCGAAACAGCTCTGCCTGAGTACTTGGGTGGGGGGTGGTTCACAGGTAACACCGGTCGACAGGCACAGTTCCATGCTCAGAGGCCCTCGGTATGGAGCTCCCGCCGCCCCTGTCAGCTAGATGTGCCAGCAAGCCCAGGGCTCTCCAGCCTCATTCAAGAGAGCACCCAAAGGGCTCAGGTACTGGCACGTGGGGGCGATCGTAGGTTTGCGGAGATAGCACCCGAGTGCTGTGCGGTAAAGGGCATTCAGTTGGAAAGCGCTGGGGATGGAGGAAGGGCAGGGAATGTGCGTGATCCTGTTGCGTGTCTCAGTCCTCCTTCCCCCGCACCTGTTCTTTACAACCTTTTCTCCCTCAGGGACCGTCACTTTGAGTGTGCATGTGTGTGTCTTTCAGCGGTTCCCGAGTCCTGTTTGTTTTCCGTAACTTGTTGGAATGCACTGAAGTGTGTTTGTACACAGGGCTCCTCAGTAATGACTCACACCAAACGTGGAACCTGCAGAAACCTCGATGTGGACAGATGGAAGCGCCCCTTGTCTGCACGTCGCAGCGGTCCCGCAGGAACACGGAGGACTTGGTCTGGCCCAGCGCAGCTGGCCGAGCCCAGTCGTTCCCCTCCACGAGGCCTCTAGCCCTGCGTCCCAGGCACTGCTCTCCTTGTTGCCGTTTTGCTTGGTATCTCTGCCGATGAAGTGTGCTGGGTTCTTTAAAATTTTTTCATTGAATTCTTTGGGGTGACATAGGCTTCAGGGGTACAGTTCTATAATATGTCATCTGTGTGTTGTACTGTGTGTTCGCTCAAAGTCAAGTCTCCTTCCGTCACCGTTTTTCCCTCCTGTTCCCTCTTCTTTCTCCCCCGACCCAGTGTGCAGGTTCCTTCTGCAACCATCTTAACTGGTTTGTGAGGAATCGTCTGGTTTTTAAAAACAGGTATTGTGTGTTTCAGGAAGTACAGGTAGGAAGTGGAATGAATATTGAAATATTTTTCTGAGGGTCTGCATTCGCTGGACTAAATCAGGGTTATCAGTAAAAGTCAGTCAGTATTTTAGACGTGAAGGAGTTAATCAGAGGTGGCTTCCATGCAGTTTTTCTCATTAAGAGTTGATTTGTCATTACTAAAGTGTTTTTTCCAAAATACAATTTATGTGATCTTTTACTGTATTCAAGTTTAAGAAATAACCATTTCCAGGGCAAAAGCTGGCTGTTAAGTATTAACTTCTTAGTAATGAATTCGAAGTCTCAGTTTTTCAAGGAATGTGTTCTGCTCTAGGAGGGGGGGGTCTGTGGTGGGGGCGGGGAGGCAGTGTCAATGGCATTTCTGACTCTCTGAGCTGTGATATGCAGCACCGGTGTGTGCTAATAAGCAGGCTGCAGCTGTGGTTTATTTATAACTGATTGTGTGAGAATCCTGTTCGCGGTTCTGAAATCCCCATATTTTTTACTGTGAGCGGTTATTGCATCAGACAGTTGTTGAATAACTAGCCTTATTTTTCTAGGCTCTTTAGAAGTCCTTCAGTCTATTCTAGTCTTCATTTTAATGAACCATTTTAACATTTTTCTACTCGCATTATTTTTGCTGTTTCTCTGCATGACAAATTTAAATCTAGATTCAAGACCCTTCAGTAAAATGACCTCCACCTAAAAATCATGACCACGAGGGAACAGAATGCTTACCACTGAAGCTGTCTCAACACATGAGTCCGTTGTACTTGAGAGGTGTGCTCCTCACCACTCTCTAGGGTGTCTCCACCACGGCCCGGAAGTGTAGCACTCCACCCAAGGTTCTTCCCGCTGTTCTTAAACCTTTCACACTGCCCCGTCTTCTTGAATCTGCTTGCTGCCAGATGTTTCCATGTAACACATGTGTGTCCTCACCCTTTCCTATCACACATGCCCCTTACAGTTTTCTTCTGCACAAAATCCAGTAAATCATCTAGTCGGTGACAGCAGGCTTCTATTTAAACCAGGCATGTGAAGCTAGGAATCTAGTGATCCTCACATTATACCAAATCAAAGCTAATGATCTTAATTCAGGGTGGGCTTATCCGAATGTGCGGGCGAGCACCATGTTTGCCGCACCGATGCCAGCAGTTGCCCATCTTTCTTTGCTCTTTGAGGTTTTGTGAAAGCTCAGGCTTTGATCTCAGTGTATAAACTAAATCCCATTAAGATGGGTGTTTACTGTGTCTTTTCTGTTAAAGACTGGGTAGACCTGGAGCTGCTTTTATGGGAAAGGATGTGCTCTGGTCTGGGGCAATCAGATACACAGAGCTATAGCTGTACTAGTTTTTTGTGACTGGTGCCTGTGTTCTTAAGTCTTTTTAATACTCACCCCTGAGAGTGGCTTACAGTATGTATTCGCTGACTGTAAACAAGTTCCTTTGGTTGCCTAATAAAAGGTTAGGACTTAACAGAAAAAAATGAGAGTTGGATGCAGGGAGGAAATAGGACAATCGGTGGTACTTTGCCAGAAAACTTCCAGCTGCCTGGCAGACGCCCGCCCTCCCCTGGTCTGCTTGGACGCCTCTGAGCTCTGCTGGGCTCCGCTCCTCTGCTCTGTGGTCCAGAAAGTGCCTCCAAGCAGAAAGCCTGGGCGGTTACAGGACTCAGCTCATCCGTTTTCCTTCTCATGGGGATCACAGTCCTGCTTGTCCAGTGTTCTCATATAATTTCCTTAATTTTCTAGTTGGTAAGGGAGCAGATCTCTCCCACTTACTCTGCCATGGCTGGAAATGGAAATTGGGGTTTTTTTACATGTTTAAATCTATAGTAAAATTAATTCACATTTAAAAACGATTACGTCTGTCTCCAGGGACAAATCCTATAATTGCAAACTAGGTGAATAATTGTTATTTCTCAGCTTGCTTAGGATTTTCATATATTAGCTACAGTGGCACTTTTCTAGGCAAGCCAGCAAAGAGAAGACTTAAGCGGATGCTAGTTGGTTTCTGTGTGGGACTCTCCTGTTTTTCTAAGACTTGCATCTAATTTTTACCATTATCTTTTCTTAATCTCTTTACATTGAGAAGAAGATATTAGGTGTAGTGTTAGCTTAACCTCTAGGTTAAGCTGTCAGTTTCCAAGAAAGAGGGAGAAAATGAGAATTAGTGGCTAGCATTTTTATTTCGCTTAGCAAGTAAAATCAACTCACTGAGCCAGACCTTACTTACATTCGGCTCTGGCAGACTACAGCTGTAGCTAGGAATTACTAGCCATTCAAAATGCAAACAAAATCACTCAAAACCTACAGTAATGACCTTCCTTGTACTTGCCACCTTTATACCTCCATGTTGAAGTATAAAATATTTGGGGATTTTTTGGCTTTATGGGCAACTTCTAAGCAACTTTTTTAAAAAAAATTGAATTTATTGGGGCTGACGTTAGTTAATAAAATTACATAGTTTTCAGGTGTACAATTCTGCAGTATATCTTCTGTACATTGTATTGTGAGTTCACCACCCAAGTCAAGTTTCCTTCTGTCACCATTTGTAATACTTGGCTTTATTTTTCTGTTGTAAAAATGAATTTATCCTAAGTTAATACCTGGCTATCTAAAAGACAGTTTAATCCTAAATCCTGTTGTGTTTTTTAAGTTTGTGGTCTTGGCAGGAAGGGTGCCTACTGAGATGTGACACTATTACTTTTCTTTCATGGATTGTTAATGAAATTTTGAGTGGTTCTAAGAATTCTCAGGACATTCTGTCACCTCTATGTTAGTCCGAAAAGACCATTCCAGCTGGGCGGCCACTTCCTGTGTTGGCTTATTTGTACGTGAGATCGTTCTCTGTCTCCACAGGAAAAGGCGCTCAGTGTTGACCCTCTGGCAGCATTTGATATGGCGGCACCTTGTAATGGTGTAATAGTCCTGAGTTTACACAACGCGAGTTCTCTTCTTGTTGAACAGTTACCAGGTGTCTTCCGGGGTTCAGTGTGGTGACAGTACAGGCTTCACACTCCTCTCGCGTGGCGACTGTTGTTTAAGTCGCCCGATCTCATACAGTGTGATCACGTCCCACACTTTTCCGAGCCTTCCTTCCACCGAGAACTAGAAGTTTGAGTTATGTGACGACCTCAGGGACTGGCCGAGGTGGCTTCGTTCTCCCTCCCACAGGGTGCGCCCTCATCTCTACCAGGTTTGGCCGCCTTCCCCCTTTGTATTAAAAGGTGACTCGAATGGAAAGGCAGAAAGAGATAGAGCTGTGGGCTCCACGGGTCAAGTTTTCAGGATCCTTTCGTCGTGTGTCCCCATAGCTCAGGGAGCAGCTCGGGGTGACCGCCGTGTCTAACGCTGGTGGCCGTGGCCTTTTGGAGCCTGGAGTCCCCTCAAACAGAAACTGTCGGTTGGTGCTGTTTGTGGCTTCCTTTCTGGAAGATGTTGACAGAAGAGTCATGTCTGGGTCCAGAGTGGATGTGGAAACTAATTCTAAAGTGAATTCTGCGTTACCCATGTTACTGTTTTCAAGGACACATATGCTGATTTAAGGGAAAACCCCAGCAAGGAAAATACCGCTGTAGAGCAGGGAAAAGGTTTTCCTTAACCCTCTTGGTCCCTGGACACGTTAACAGGAGAAGAGCGTACAGTTACTTGAGTTTGTGGGACCTGAGAGCCTGCGGAAGGAAGTGAGACCCCAGGAAACAGGCCCGTGTGTTTGGTGCCGGTCCGAGGGAGAGTGGGCGGTCGTGCGGGGTGCGGTAGGTCACGGAGCATGAGGTCGCTGGTGCAGCCCGGGGGGCTTCGCACAGCCTGTCTGTTTGGAATCTGCTGGGCATCCCTTTGTCTTCGGAGGTAAGGGTGTTCCTTTCCCCTGCATCCAGGGTGGACACCTCTCCACTGAGGGTTTTAGGGCCTGGTCAGGGGCTGCGGGTTCAGAGCGCCCTTCCTGCTCTGTGTTCTTCTCAGATGGCTTCAGCTGAAGGTCTGCAGTGTGCCGGGGCCCCGGGTTGAGGTCGCATGTCCCAAACTCCACCGCCAGCATTTCTCATGCCCGCCCTGAAAGCATTATTGCGTCTTTGTCCCTTCTTGGTACAGCAAAGACCCCTGGATGTCCCCACCACCAGTTGGATACCAAAAATCTGAGCAACGGTGCGAAAAAAATTGTTTCCTCTCACACCAGTAGCAAAAACATGAGCATTTTCCAAAAGTAACTCTACCAGGAATCAACAGGCAAGTTCAAAATAGAGATGTAGTACGTTGGAGAGCACAGCTTCCTCACGCAGACACTGAAGTTTGACTCAGGTTAGCTGGGGCCACCCTGCCGGTGTGCAGACCGGAGTCCCCTTTCTTCTTCGCACTCGGTCACGAGGCCATCGTGAAGGACGTTAAGGCAGACCGTGTCTTCCACGGAGGTTCGACCGCTTTCCCTGCTTCTCATGGCTGCTGTTTGGACTCGGTCTTCCCATCAGCCCTGTGGCCTCTAGGGCAGTTTTGCACCTGTTTACCTCCTTTTAGCTGCCTGCTCTGAAAAGTAAAAAGACTTTTACACACCTCCAAGCTCCAGGGCAGATTGGTTAGACTTAGTTTCCAACAGGAGACCAGTCCCAGCTCTTCCTGCTTCATGCGATTCCCTTGGTAAACCTGAACCACCCGGCTGTTTCCCACTCTTCCTACTCGCCAGAGAAATGGTCT